ATCGTGTATATCTGTTTTCACTTTTCATTTTAAATCAGAAATATTTTTATCCATTCAAACGAAGTAATTACTTAGACCTCAATCGGGTTTTTTGTGGTATTGCTTTAGATTTATTTAAATACTGACGGGTTGTTGCTTGATTATGAGGTTTAGTAGTGTTTATATGTAAACGACGTTTCTTGAAGTAATGATTTTTATTGTTTTTGTAATTAAATAGCAAACATTTAAGATTTCTTGTAAATAAGTTGCTTTACAAATTCATAACTAGACAGTTTCTTATTTGCTAATTTTCTTTTATGGGTTTCACCACACGGTTTTGATTAATTTTCTTCTATTGCAAAGAAGTCATTTTACAACCAAAAAGACCAAAATAGAAACAAATCTCAAACTCTTTATCAAAACAAAAACATGGCTAAAACAACAGTTTCTTTGTCAATTACAATTAGAAGACTCTAGTCCACATCACCATAAAGAGGATGTGCACGCACAGACCTTTTTAGTTATGCAGTCTTCTAAAAAGCAAACAAGACTAATGTCTGTATATAGTCGGTGCAGACAAAATATGTCAAGAATATTTGCTGACAAAAAACAAACATATACGATACATGTTTTGATTGCAACTTAGAATGATAAAAGTCCTTAAGGTCCAATGTCCAAAAATTTTCTAACAAATTCAGCCTGATGATTAAATAAATAGGATAAATCTTATAAGCAACATAACATGAAACATATGAAATTCATGTTCACATTAGTACATAATTTGTTATGATCCATCAATATGTTCCCTGTACTTGAGCACATAGTCACATAGTTCACGGATCACTTCGGTACGGGAACGAGGATCGGGAGCGCAGTTCGCTAGGTTGGACGTATCAGGTACGGTGGGGGTAGGTTCATTTCGGTATGCCCCGGTACAGTGTACCATACAATCCGATACCGTGTACCCAGTTAAAAAACAAAGAACGTTACAAAAAAACATAAACATGAAAGTAACTTGAAAAATCGGAAACATGAATCGGTAGGGGTAAAAAAATGATTTACCTATGAATGAAGTGGTAAGAACTTGTTGGTTATTACTTTTATGCTTTAGTAGGTTATTTTCTTTTACTTTTAATAATAGTGTAGTAAGGGCATTTTGGTCTTTATCTCTCATGAGGTGGTGCCACCTGGATGGGATGAACTAATTAATATCTTGAGTAAATTACTGAAATGGTCCCTATGGTTTGGTCAAAATTACACGTTTGATCCCTAACTTTTTTTTTTTGCACTCGGATCGTCCCTGTGGTTTGATTTTGTTGCGTTTTTCGTTCCTTACATACATAAAGTTAGGGACCAAACGTGCAATTTTGACCAAACCATAGGGACGAAAAACGCAATAAAATCAAACCACAGGGACGATCCGAATGCAAAAAAAAAAGTTAGGGACCAAACGTGCAATTTTGACCAAACCATAGGGACGATTTCAGTAATTTACTCTAATATCTTTTGTCAAATTAATAGAATCCAGGGTAAACAGATTCGATTGTATGTGCCTTAGCCCATATATATACAATTCAAAGCGTAAGACACTTTAATCAATTAATTGATACTGAAATGTGAAGAATCGGAAATTGAAGCGATATAATGGAAATCGAAACAATGCGATTTTCTAAAGTCTCGAGATTTCACGCCATACTGAAATCGATGACATGAACGCATGATTTAGAGGCCCAATTCACGATTGGGCCATCTATGGAATGATCCAAACACGATTTCATCATCGATCCAAAATGAATTGAGGAACGATGGCTTCACATATCAAGATACAATCCCGACCACGATTGGATCGCAATCATACCACGTTTGGGAACGCATCGATTGGATCGCAAATCGTGGCATGTTTGGTGAAT